TGCAATATACCTTTAGTACACATTCATCTCTGTATGAATTAAACAGCTTGGAGGAAAAGTACATATCGCAGAAATAAAACTTGATTGAATATCCATTTCTAAAGAATTTTAAAATAATCTGACATCATTTTCATCACCTCATATGCTGAAGATTATAAATCTACCTCTCAAAGCACTACTTATTTCCTTTTAGGTGTCAGAATAATATAATTACAATCATGATTCAAACAGTCAGGTTTCTCATAAAAGTAGTTAAAGGTATTAGCTTAAATTTTCAGTCTAATATCCTTTAAAATAATAACACTTTATTAAACAGAAGAATAACACTATCATTCTAAGCACCATGTTTAAAGATGAGACTACTCTCCAGGCTTTTATAGAAAACAAAATACCTAGGTCTGGTTTACTGAACTTTCTTTTTTTTTTTTAAATTTATTTTATTTTAGATAGAGAGAGAAAGAGAGCACAAGCAGAGGAGAGGGGCAAAGGGAGAGGGAGGGAGAGGGAGACAGAGAGAGAACTCCAAGCTCTGCATACAGCCCCAAAGCAGGGTTTGATCCCATGACCCTGGGATCATGACCAAGCTGAAATCAAGAGTCAGATGCTCAACCAACTGAGCCACCCATGCACCCCTGAACTTGACTTTCTAATCAAGGAAGACTTTCAAAACCCAAGTGCCAAAGGGTAACCTCTGTTTCTTTGAGTTACTGGAAAAGAGAGGAACATGCAAGTGGAGTAGAAGATGAATATACAGCAGTGACCAGTCCATGCAGCATAGATGAGGAACATTTATGTGAACTTCAATGTACTCCAAACACAATTTTGTACATAGACTGTTGGGAAAGCTTGAAAAGGAGGATTTCCTAATGGAACTAGGGTAAACTGTACTGAGCATCGAATTTATAGGGACAATTTCTAAAGGAGTGACCTCACTCCTGCTCTACCACTTTAGTCTCCTCCTTTATTCCCTTGGATTGCACCTTTTTGGATTCATCAGTGAATCCTTTTAGGCTAGAATGTATAGAGCCACCCAAAAACATCTCACAGTCTATATCTTATAAGGTTTCATAGTTCCCTTCTGCTGTTAACATGGTTCATTTATTTAAAGCCCATTCATGTAAAAGTATTCTTTCTGTAACACAAAGGCCAAGTCAGAAGAAAGTTCTGTGTTGATAAAACCTCCATTATGATTTTTTTTCTCTCCAAAAGTATCCAACCTGGTGCTGGAGAATTAAGATTCCTCTTTTTCTACTTTATTACTGTTTAATCTAGGTTTCCTTAACAAGTGTGACCTCCAGAGCACCTGGGTGGCTCAGTCGGTTAGGCGTACAACTTCAGCTCAGGTCACGATCACACAGCTTGTGGGTTTGAGCCCCGCATCAGAGCCTGCTTTGGAACCTCTGCCACCCCCTCTCTCTGCCCCTCTGAGCAGAAAAGAGACTCATACTCTGTCTCTCTCTTTCTCTCTCTCTCAAAAATAAACATTGAAAAAAATTTTAATGTGACTTCCACACTATCTCTAATTTAGGGCATTAATTATACACATTTCTGTCTATTCCAGAAATACAGCTAGCACAGAAGCAACATTGATCAAGGGCTCTGATGTCAACAGAGCCCAGTTTAAATCCTGGCACGACCACTTATTAGCTACGTGATCACAGAAATATTATTTGACCTCTGAGCCCTTTATTTCTCTATAAAAAGAAATGTAGTACCTCCTTGCAAGGTGTAAGATAATATACTATGAGCACTTATGCAGTACCTGTCACAAGGTGAATGCATTTACTCTGGTCAGCAGAGCAGTGCTCTGCCACTTATCACTTCAACACTAAGTTATGTTCTTAAAGTCAAAGAAAGATTCAGAGATGGAATAGCCATACCATGCGTGTGCAAATGGAAATAGTGACAATACTGACCTCACACTGTTGACGGCCCACCTCTTGCCTCTCCCGGTCTTACTGAACTTTCAGTTCCTCCAACATGGACTGCTCTTTGCTACCTTAGGATCTTATACATGATACACCCTCTACCTGGACAGAAATCTCTATCATCTCCCTTCTCCTGCCTAATTCCTGCTCAGCTTCCCCGTCTCTGCTTTGCCACCGCTGCTGCTTATAGATTTCTCTAATACCCAAGACTCAGGACTCCACTGTAGATCTCGCAACAAACTACTTCCTTAAAGCATGTATTTCCTAAGGAAATTGGACTTTAATAAATCTGCCTTTCCCTGACCCACGTGGGTGGTCCCCATAACATGAGCAACAAGAAAGAGAACATTGTGAGCTTGACAGAGACACAACGGTTGATCCTCTCCAGGCACAGCACTGTGTGGCAACTTGGAACTGACACATAAGTAATAGAAAGTAAGGATTTACAAATATACATAGCTAACTGGCTTCTTTTTGCAAATGCAAAACCCAAATCATAAAAAGTACTGCCTTTTACCTTAGCTCTCTAATAAATATGGGCAGTATACAACAGCCACAGAAGTAGACTTTAAGAATATCTTCATTCTTTACCCTTTCCCTGGCCCTCACCATACATAACGTAAAGAGCAAACAGAAATTGCTGCACTCCCTCCCGTTATTCTTTCTCTGTACATATGTGAGGAGAAGGGTCAGTACAGATAACTAGTTACAGCTTCCAGATCATCAAAATAAGAGAATGTGAAGAAGTGGGCTGTTTTTATTTGCCTGGCATTCTAGTGTTTCCCAAAAGGATTTTAGACAATTGAGACTCAAGTTTCCATACTATAGCCCTCCCTGTACGTACACACACACACACACACACACACACACACACACACACACCTTCTTTACCTCAATATGGAGAGAAGCAGGAAAAGGGAATGGGGGAAAGATACAGATTCAACAAGCATTTGTAAAGATGATACTCTCTAAAACTCTAAAAACTACGTAAAACTATGGGCAGCATGCTATGGAGGACTATGGATACTTACAAAACAGAGTTCCTGCTTTAAAAAGGGAGTAAGACAAGGGTGCAAAAGATTTTAAGGCAAGGTTAGAATAAGACACATGTCATGAGAGAACTACAAAGATTGGACTGATCATACACTTTCCAGGATATTAAGAAATACCTCATGAAGGAGGTAGACAGTATCTGAGATGCGGCTTAAAGAATGGATGGGATTGGTAAAGCAGGGACTGCATTGGGAAAGGTACTTGGGCCAAAGGAACAATGTGGGCTAAAGCACGGAAACAGGAAAAGAATGAGCATGTGTGAAGAACAGATTAACACACTGGAAAGGTGGGTTGGGGTCACAAAGTGGAAGGCCTTGAATGCTATAGCATTCCTTGAATGTTATTTACTCTAAATAAAGCAAACAATAAGGAACGATTGTAGGCTCTGAGCAGAAAAGTGGCTTGATGGGAGGAGAGGTGATTAATGTGACCCATGAGGACTGCAGTAGAGTGAGAACTGAAGGAAGCAAAGAGGACCGTCAACTTCATATAATCTACCTTTCACTGTCTCTCACCCCATCCTCACTCCCTTTCTGACTTGGCTTAAATGTCATGGCCAATGAGTAAATTACTCTCTTCCATATGCCCCTCAGTCCTCATGTTATCTCTCTGACTTTCTTTTACTGATTTGGCAAAAGGATAATCCTGGCTAAAAAGAACTTTCCAACAACTTATCACTCATATCGAAGAAAGTAAATGTAGGTAGAGAAAAACACAGCCTGTCAAATGGTCTTACTAATATGTAGGAGACTTCAAAGCTGTCTGCATCACACTGTATTTTCCTAGGCCATTTACTTTTCTTCTCTGCTAGAGAAGTATTTATGTTCTTTTTCCTCTTCACTATCTTTATCCCCTACTATTCTCTCCTACACCCTTCCAGCCATAATGACCTCCCTGTAGTTGTTCCCACCAGGAACACCTTAGGGAACACTTTACTCTTTTTTATGCCTTGAATGTTCTTCCCCCAGTGCCTAGAAGAGTGCCTTGCAAAAAGTAGAAACATAACAAAAATTGAGTAAATGAATTTGGAAATACATTGTACGTTCAAGTTTTCTATTTTGCATTTTCATTACCAGATATACTCCCCACATTACCAGATATACTTCAAGGCCATCATTTTCAAAAGATAATAATATTCCCTTTTATGGATATATGATAAATCATTTACAATTTGGGATTAAGAAACCAGCAAATTGACAAGTGGGATACTTTGAATGTTTCTTCTTTTGATTTTTCTAAACTTTCATAGCTTCACCTCTAAAAAATGAGCATGATATTTAACAGGATTGTTGTAAAGAATGAATGATCTCTTTCATGGTTCTTGAGACTCAGCCTCATTGTGTTGTTAACACAGAGCCTGCTTAAGACTCTCTCTCTCCATCTCTCTCTCTGCCCCTCCCCTGTATGTTCTCTTTCTCTCTCAAAATAAATAAATAACTTTTAAAAAGTATCTGTTTCTAAAAGTGATGGTAATAATTAAAAACAGTTATGTAAAAGAGTTTAAAATAATACCTGACCCAGAGAAGACAATCAATAAATGTTTATTCATTCACTGCTCATAAATAACTATGACTCTTCTTAAATTGTGAATCAGAATAAAAAACATAAAACAAAACAATTTTTATAAACTCCCCAATAACATACACACTGCCAATGCAAAATTGTCCCTTTGATGAACACTTACAAAGCATACATCAGATTTTTTACATAAATCTCTATATCAATTTTGTTTCCTTTATTATGAAAAAGACAGACAAAACAATTTTTTCAATTACTGAATGACAGTGTGAATAAATAAATTCCTTTATTTATCACATGCTCCTATATATATATGTGGGCTAAAGGAAGCAATATATATATATTGCTGATATATACATTGCTGGTATATATATCAGGTCAGTGAAGTACCATGATAAGGGTAAGTTGAGCAAGAAAATATTAAGTAGACCAGTCTCACTTCAGGGACTTTTTGAAGTAATCTGCATTACAAATATATCAGTCCTTTTCCTTATTTTTCAGATACAAGCTTAAGTATGTGTTACTGAAGTGGCCAACAAGTATGCGAGGTCTTCCAGGATATAATCATCTCTGCCTTCCTGGGACCTAGTCCAGCGCCTGACATATAAAAGGAATTAGATGAACAGTGAGTAGGTGGATGGGTGGGTGACTAAGAAACTGGCTGAGTACAGTAGTCATTAGTGCTATTTGATTTACACGTACTCCAGAATCAGTATTTTTTTTATCTCCCCACTCTGTCCTTAGATGCAGCAATATAACCTGTTTGGGCCAATGAGTTACAAAATAAAGTGACATGTGCCATTTCTAGACTGGAACACTTATTATCATTCCATATTTTTTTTCCACTGCTCTGGTGATCATGAAAGTATATGTTGAAAGGAAGCTTCCATAAGTCCTTTAGCCTCAAAGTGAATGTAATAAGGGAACCCTCTGCTCACCCCAATGGAAATACAAATTGAGTAATAAATTTTCAGGGAGTTAAGTCACTAAACTTTTGGAGTTCTGCTACAGCAACATAACCTAGCCTATCCCAACTAGTATAACAAGCAAGGTTATGACATTTATTTTAGAACTAGAAGCTTGTTAGAGTTTATTTTCAGAAAAACAAAATGAGGAGACAGATAATTAGCACATCTTGACCATGTAATTCAACATTTCTATATGATTGTTCTCTCACCTATAAAGTGGAATAATAATAGCATCTACATCATAGGACTGCTATAAAAATTAAATAAATGAATGTCTATTAAGTACTCTAAACTTGGGGTATATAAGGGGCACCTCGGTGGCTCAGTTGGCTGAGTGTCTGACTCTTGATTTCAGCTCAAGTCATGATCTCACAGTTCGTGAGTTAGAGCCCCACGTCAGGCTCTGTGTTGACAGTGTGGAGCCTGCTTGGGATTTTCTCTCCCTCTCTTTCTGCCCCTCCCTTGCTTACACACACTCTCTCTCTCTCTTTCTCTCAAAATAAATAAATAAACTTTAAAAACAAAAACAAAAAACTGAGAGCATATAAAGTTTTCAATCAACAGTAGCAGATTATCAATATTATCAGTGCATTAGACATTTATATACTGCATGTTTCATTTTATTCTCCCTCCTCTTACTCCTTATTCATTTTAATTTTTAGCCAATTTTTTCATTCAAAAAAATCTTTATTAAGAACTATTTTGTAGACACACCTGGGGGGCTCAGTCAGTTAAGCATAGACTCTTGATTTCAACTCAGGTCATGATCTCATGGTTCATGGGTTCATGGTTCTCAAGACCCACATTGGGATCCATGCTGATAGCATGCAGCCTGCTTGGAATGCTCTCTCTTCTTCTCTGGGCTATTACCCCTTCCTCTAACAAATAAATAAAATTAAAAAAAAAAAAAAGAACTATTATGTAGATGGCACTGTGCAATGCCCTAGGAAAATGAAGACAAATAAGATAAGACATATCATCAAGGTCATTTTCTTCCCTATGATTCTTCTTTTGTCTCCAATCCACCCATAACCAAATAAACTTTAACATCATAAATATACAGTGTTCTGTGTTATAAATACTGTGTTAGTGGTAGAGCTAAGTAATTTTACTTTTAAAAAACTCTTTACATGATATAATTCTGTGTCTAATTCAAAGTTGAGATGGAAAAACTGTTTATGTATGCTGTGCCAAAGGCAACCAATGGCAATGGTAAAAAACACAACTTGTACTCAAATCCCCACTATATAGGAGATATAGTCATATCCTGATATAGGGCCATATATAGACGGGAGCCACTCAGTGAACAGAATTACAAATGTTTCACAGAATGGCAGATACAATTATCTTACATAATTATCTTATGTAAGATGTCTTATATTGTCTCCTCCACAACTTACCAAAAAACAAAATAGCACAGGAAAAAAATAACAGAAATAGCTTATATGCTTTTCATTATGTATCAGTCTTGTGTAAAAGAAAATTGTTTCAAACAAGGAAATAGTTCATTTCTTTGCCTTATTTATAAGTGTATTAAATTATATCCCACTGATAAAAAGACATATATGTACCGTTTATGTAACTGAAAAGTTCATAAAGATTTTCATATTTTACAAAATAACTATTTTAGGTATACTAAGTGTGATTTAAATATTTTATTCTGTGTGGAGAAGGGGTAGGTTAAAGCCACATACATTAAGAAACTATAAGATAAGATAAAAATATTTACCCTTTATTGGGTGAAGTGATATAAACTGTGCTATGTAAGCCCTTTACACATACCAGCTCATTTCACAACAAATCTGTAAGATGAATGGTGTAATTATCCCCATCTCGTTGATTATAAAAATAGATGTTTAGAATTACTCAGGTAATGAGAGACACAATTTATTCTCAAACTTGTATGGTATTTGATCTCTATCAAGTTCCTGACTCTCCATAATCTTTAAAAAAAATTTTTTTTATAGTTTATTTATTTTTGAGACAGAGACAGAGCACGAGTGGGGGAGGGGCAGAGAGAGAGACACACACACACACAGAATCCGAAACAGGCTCCAGGCTCTGAGCTGTCAGCACAGAGTCTGATGCAGGGCTCAAACCCACAAACTGTGAGATCTGACCTAAGCTGAAGTCAGACGCTTAACTGACTGAGCCACCCAGACATCCTTGACTCTCCATAATTTAGATCAAAGTGACTTCATCATATCTAACGGATGGACTACATGATCACTAAGACCCCTCCTGGCATTGATTCCTGGTTAAAAACAGAAATCAGTTCAGAAGTCATATAATATTTGTAACATATACTCCAGGTCTTAAGAGGAAAGCCATCAATAGATGAACTAATTAATGAGAAGAGGGGGAAAAATAAGAAGAGGAGGAGGAAAAGAGCAATATTTTACTAGACATTAGGGTCACCGTGACATGTGACATGAGTGGGAAAGGAGAACCTGGAGTAGGAAATGAAAGTAGAGCTGTAACACAAATAAAAATAGCTTAGCCCACTGATGGGATTGCTTCACAGCAGGCAAGGAAAGAGCTGTAGGAAGGCTTTGCAGAAGTCGGTGGCCATTAACTTAATGCTGCGTCAAGATGCAGAGTTCTAACATAAACATCAGTCAGTAGCTAAATAGGAATAATTAAGTACAGATGACTGACCACTAAATTTCTAGAAGAGGCTTACCACAACTGTCATGCATTTGGATCAATCTGAAATGATAACACTATGAGAGTGTGGTTTTAGGACAGAGTGGGGAAGAAAGAGCATTACTCTATTACTTTCCTTAAGTTCCTACCATGTTCCAGGCACTGTGCATGCGTTTTCATGTGTTACCATATTTAGCCCTCACAACAACTTTGGCAGAAATGATGGTTAATTCTACATGTAAACTTGGCTGGGCTATAGGGCCGGGATATTTGGTCAAACATTATGGTTGTTTCTATGATGGTGTTTTTTTAGACAGGATTAACAGTTAAATATTGGACTTTGAACAAAGTAGATTTACCCTCCATAATGTGGGTGGACCTCATTCAACCAGGTGAAGGCCTGAATAGCAAAAAAAAAAAAAAAAAAAAAAGACTAAGCTCTCCTAAGCAAGAAGGAAGTGTGCAAGCAGGCTCTCTTAGTCTCAAATTGCAACTCATCTCTGGATGTCCAGCCTGACAGCCTCCCCTATAGACTTTGAACTAATTCACATGAGCTAATTCCTTAAAATAAATCAATCTCTGTGAAACAAGAGATATACAGACACCCACAGACACATTCTATTGGTTCTGTGTCTGTAGAGAAGTTTGACTAATACAGTGAATGCTACTTCCTAACTCACCACTGAGGAAAATGAGAGCCTCAAGGGATTCATTCTCTTTTCCCAGTACATCCCATAGTAAAATGTCCTCAGGACTCAAATTCTACTCTGATGGGCTTAGGGTAAGTGGTGAAGAGTAATGAGAAGTAGGGAAACCTTGTAACCACAAGCCAAGGATTCCAAGGAGCCCCTTACAACATTGGAATCACACATGTACCCAAAGCCCAGATGTGACCAAGTGAGGTACTATCCCTTGTTTGGTCTCCTGATTTAGTTACTTCATATAAAAGAAATTAAATATTCCTACAAAATCAACAACATTTGAAGACTCTGAAAGAAGAGGAAAAACAGTAAAGAATAGAAATAAAAGATGAAAAGAAAAATAAAAACTGATTTGTGTCAATTAAATGATGGCAGATTTTGCCTTATTTGGGTTTTTTTTGGATAGTCATTCATTCATTCCCTCAATGAATATGTATTTTGTACTTTATCTTTTTTGTGGGCCCTTCTGGGTACTAGAGTGTGTTGTCTAGGTATGGGGGACACACCAAAATAGTAAGTGTGCAGAGTGGAAAAGAATCAACTAAGTTGCCCTAAAGTCAAGAACACTTCACAGAAGAGGGGACAGTTCATTTGGGATACAGGTTTGACTTTAACTTTAGGAGAAGAGAGATAGTACGCCAGGTAGAACTTCTGAGCACTGTAAAATTCAATTGAGTCTACATTCTATGTTGCTGAAAGTATATGTGTGTGTTGGGGGGCAAAAGGGAGGGCCTTCCCTAAGGCATTTTTACCCAGACTATTCATGGACCTTAGGTTCATAAAAGGATAGCTGGGAATAGCTTGGTCAACTGGACAGATATAACTACAGAAAAGAAAAATCAGGGGGTGCCTGGGTGGCTCAGTCGGTTAAGCATCCGATTTTGGCTCAGGTTATGATCTCATGGTTCGTGGGTTCAAGCCTCGCATCGGGCTCTGTGCTGACAGCTAGCTCAGAGCCTGGAGCCTGTTTCAGATTCTGTGCCTCCCTCTCTCTCTGACCCTCCCCTGATCACGCTCGCTCACTCTCTCTCAGAAATAAATATTTAAAAAAATTTTTTTAAAGAAAAGAAAAATCATTACAAGGTTTGATAAAAATTAAACCTTGAATAAAAACTGAGCCTTACAATTGTAATAATAATGTTTATTATTAAAAGGCATAAAAGCACACTGAAACTAAAATTACTCTCCAACTGGAATTTAAATAAAAACTTGAAAAAAGAAAAAAAATAAAAGGCATATAAATATTTAATGTGCTTTAACTAAAAAGAAAAAAAATCAAGTTGAGTTTAAATAGACATAGTCCCAACTAAAAATCTACATTCCAAAATTGGTAACTACTATAACCATTATTATGCAATAAATACATATATGGAAGTTTCTCAAAAAAAATGAAATGAGAAAGTAATCTATAATGAAGGGATATAAATTAAGTGTTCACAGATATTTTAGTCTCTTCCACCTTTTGTTCTTTTTCTGCTGCTAGTTCTCTTTTT